CATAAAAACGACATAGTATAGTAAGGCATAAAAAGTCATAAAAACGTCATAGTATAGTAAAGCATAAAAAGTCATAAAAACGATACAGTATAGTAAGGTATAAAAACGTCATAGTATAGTAAGGCATAAAAACGATACGGTATAGAAAGTCATAAAAACGACATAGTATAGTAAGGCATAAAATGTCATAAAAACGTCATAGTATAGTAAGGCATAAAAAGTCATAAAAACGATACGGTATAGAAAGTCATAAAAACGACATAGTATAGTAAGGCATAAAATGTCATAAAAACGTCATAGTATAGTAAGGCATAAAAAGTCATAAAAACGATACGGTATAGAAAGTCATAAAAACGACATAGTATAGTAAGGCATAAAATGTCATAAAAACGTCATAGTATAGTAAGGCATAAAAAGTCATAAAAACGATACGGTATAGAAAGTCATAAAAACGACATAGTATAGTAAGGCATAAAATGTCATAAAAACGTCATAGTATAGTAAGGCATAAAAAGTCATAAAAACGATACGGTATAGAAAGTCATAAAAACGACATAGTATAGTAAGGCATAAAATGTCATAAAAACGTCATAGTATAGTAAGGCATAAAAAGTCATAAAAACGATACGGTATAGAAAGTCATAAAAACGACATAGTATAGTAAGGCATAAAAAGTCATAAAAACGACATAGTATAGTAAGGCATAAAAATGTCATAGTATAGTAAGGCATAAAAACGACATAGTATAGAAAGGCATAAAAAGTCACAAAAACGATACAGTATATATAGTAAGGTATAAAAATATCATAGTATAGTAAGGCACAAAAAGTCAAAAAACGTCATAGTATAATAAGACATAAAAACGTCATTGTGTAGTAAGACATAAAAACGACATAGTATAGTAAGGCATAAAAAGTCAAAACGACATTGTATAGTAAGACATAAAAACCTCATAGTATAGTAAGGCATAAAAACATAGCATATAAAGGCATAAAAACGTCATAGTATAGAAAGGGATAAAAATGTCATAAAAACGACACAGTATAGTATGGCATAAAAAAACATAGTATAGTAAGGAATAAAAAGTAATCGTGTGGCAAACGTTAAAAAAGTCCTAGTATAGTAAGGCTTAAAAATACGCCATAGTACAGTAAGACATAAAAATGCCATAGTACAGTAAGGCATAAAAACATCATAGTATAGTAAGGCATATGAACGTCATAGTATATTACGGCATAAAAAGCCATAAAAACAACATAGTATAACAAGGCATATGAACGTCATAGTATAGTAAGGACATATTATAGTAAGGACCCCATGGCTATCAGGGGGTGGCCATGGGGTCCCTAAGCAGTCGCTTAATTCGCTCATGCATTGGACTGGCCTTGAATACAGTCTTACCTAGAATAATGTTGGAGGCAGGAACACGCACATTTTCAAAGTGTACTTCAAAGTGTCCACCATGGATAGCGTCTGAGCACACAAACAGGGTGAAAATGGTTACATTTGGCGAGGAAAGCAGATTTGTCATGTTTGTGTGCAAAGAGATAATTAATATACGGGAAAAACAGGAAAATATCAAGTACATGAAGTTGTAATGACAGGTATAATCCTACCATCTTGTCCAAACACGGTGAGTGGTCTGACAAGCTTTACACCTGATGTGTCCATAGGTACGAGGATCATACTGTGTCGGTCATGCCTAAGAAACAAATTTATAAACAGGGTTATTTCACTCTCTTTGCAAACACAGTTGGGTGTGTGTTTTGTTACATTGTTGTGGCAACAAAAGAATGAAAAAATGTATTACATATCTTACATATCTTTTCCTAAGTTTAAAATCCTAAATGCTCATAACCAATAAGCTTTGGATAAAGAGTAGTGCCAAATACATGTCAACCACAAGATTTAACTGACAAGATTGAAAGATGAAAACAAGATTAATTTGATACATTTTTCTGCCTTGTGATACAAACCTCAAGGTAGAAACACTAGGCAGTTATTAAAATGCATGTGCATGCTGGGAAGTACACCCTGCCTCTAAACAAAGTCCATTTCCATTATAAAAGTGGAACAAAGGAGGTTCAGTGGGAGAATTAGCCTGTCAAATACAGTGCAAAGGTGCACACACAAGCACAGAAGCATTTAAATATGAAACAATTCATATAAAATGTGAAGAGTACCATTGAATTGGTAGAACTGGAATATTGCTAACATAAATCCTGTGTGGCACTTTATATGGATAGTCTGCCTACTGAGATTTTTTATATTTGTATTTGTAATATTTCAAAAGGTTATTAGTTGAGATTCAACAATTCAACTGTTTTGCTGACCCTAACCATTACATGGTTTAACAATTGTTAGTTGAATATTTGTATATACATGGTTAAATATTAGAATGTTGAATCAACATTAGTGAAATGTTACAAATACTCTAAACTCTCTGTGGGCAGACTGTCCAAATAAAGTGTAACCCAATCCTGGAATAATAAAACCTGTGGTTAAAAACATCAGAAGCCTGACCTCTTGCACCAACACAGAAAAAGTATCTTTCTTAAATTCCCAAACACCAGAGGAGGAAACAAACATGCAAGTATTCTTCATCACATGACTGTTCCACTGACCTGCTGCTAATATCCTGAGAACTGCTCCTGCACATCACAATGGCCACTTTGCATTGGGGATTGCCAGCACCTTTTGGGAACAGTCAGAAATCCAATGATTCATTTGTATTCGTGTCTTGTTGGGGACTCACTCTGTCCTTAACCTTTCTATGACCAGAGTGTGGTTCGGAAACTGACTGGGAAGTACCAAACACGAATGTGTAGTGAGAGATTTATGGCACAAGAACGACCAGCTGAGAAGGCCACAGGTTGATTTATATTTTGGAGTTTGATTCTTTCACATATAATAACTTTCAGATTGGAGAGAAGCTAAAAATGTATGGATTATGCCATTTCTGGAAAAAAAAAGATTATTTTATTGCAAAAAGATATGCACCCTGTACAAAACTCCCACTAGAAAGCAATGACAATATATATAGATATTATAAAAACAGATACAGTGGACTTAGAATGATGATGTGATTTGTTTGATAACCAGATAACTGCAGTGCACACTGTAATACTGACCAAATGCAGAATACTTTGGAATTTCCCTAGCTGGGAGGCCACTTTCAGAATATACAGACAAGGCAAACAGACAAAGTGGTCTTTGTGGCCTTGGATCCCTAAGGCACAGTCAGGGTGACCAATGGTCTGCCTTCCTGTTTATATTTCCGTCAAACTGGCAAAACTGTCCCCTAAGGACAGGACATATGGACACCAGACAGCTACAGACGAGACATCAACAGTGGCTGAATAATCATTGTATGAGAATCACAGCAGGAGTACATGTGAACACTGAAAATGCAATCTGACAGCTGTTTAGCCTTCAATGTTTGTTTTTGCAATCACAGACAGTTTAAATTATTATGCTTGCACTGTAACAAAAGCATAAAAACTTTACACCCGACTCCACCCAAAAGCCACATATAGGAAGGCCCGTTTGGCTCGGGGGCAGGTTGGGTTTTCCTGTGAACCCTTACATAAGATGATAGAGGCTGAGCCCTGCTGTCATTCACCAGTCATGCCCATACATGTCTTATCATCACAGGAATGAAAATAAACCTCCCAAGTCCAAGTGTAATCCATTTTCCCGAGAACATGACATCCAAATATTTCATGTTGCTACATTTTTGAAAATCTTTGTCAGTTTGACATACTACAATTTGACTTCAAAATTTTTATGGAGGCATGCTTTTATTTATTTTTTGTTCCCAAATCCTTTTGCTTTGGTGATTTTATTAATTAATAACTAATTTTTATTAATTATCAATTATATACAGATGCATGAAGAGAGAGAAATAGAAACGAGAGACAGAGTGGGATTAAAAGTAAGTTGACCATTTTTGAGGAAGCTGAAATAAGGAAACACTATTAATGGGAAAACAAAAGCCATGGAAACCAAAATACTGTGCATCATTCAATAAAATCATGTTAAAAGTATCTAAAATAGAAGGTTTAGTCCACAGGATCTTTGCTGATGTGAATGAGGTTGGTAAACAATGCACACAACATTCCAGCAAACTACACAAACAACACAAAAAGCTTTATAAATGGGACAAATGTGATTTTTTTCTTGCACATACATAAACAAAAGGGCAGCTGCCAGGGCACTCCCTGTGTGACATCAAGAATGGGAGATTAAGTTCACAACTGATCTGAGATTGAAAAACAGCTTCTCTCTGCAGTTCTTTGCTCAGTACAGCATAGAAAAACTAACAGAAGTTTTATATATCTCTTTATATCTCTTCTTTTTATACATCCATTGTGCTAAATCACACACACACACACACACACACACACACACACACACACACACACACATACACACACACACACACTTGAATGGAGAGCTACGTGGTGGAGTGTCAGCAGTGAAGGGAATGGGGCGGGCTGAGGCAAAGAGATCAGTCACTTCAGTCCTGCAGTGCATACAACTTTTCTCCTCAGGATCCACAACAACTGCTTGTGTGTGATTGGAAAAAAAAAAAAAAAAAAAAAGGATTACTATCATCAACCAATCTAACTGAAGGAACAGACAAAAGGTAAGAAAGTCTTATCAGCTTTAAGTTTTCAACTAAAAAAAACAAGTCAAACTGTGCCAAGACTAAGAATCTTCACCATGTTATGTACTGATGGACTTTTGTATGAATTGTTGTTAGGGATTTATGTTTTTTCTAATGTTATTTTATATGTTTGTATTGTTAATTTTAAGTTAAGAAACTAGGCATGCTGCATTTTACAGTTTAATCATCACCATGAAATATATGGAAAAGTATTGTGCCTTGTTTTTAGTCTAAGGTTCACTTTAGTGTTAGACGAACAGTCAAAGTCCTGGATGTTTTATGACATCATTACAACCATAGGGAGATAGTCAAAACAAGCTAAACCTGTTGCATTTGGTTTCCCTGTTTGTGTTTGTCTCCTAATTGTTTTGCTCTTTGTAAAACAGTTTTCTGATCAGTAGCATGACCAAAATACATCATTATTATTACACACCGATCAGCCACAACATTTAAACTGGTAACTGGTTTCAACATTATGGCTGGTCATGTGTATCTACTGTATACAATATGTACAGTGGGGTCTAAAAGTCTGAGACCACTTTCCCGATGGAAAAAACTGTCTCACACACACAAACACCCACGCACGCACACGTGGGTGGGTGCACGTGTGTGTGTACACCTACATTTACTGTATATATACAGTATTCACAACATTAAAACCGTTAACAGGTGTTAGTATTGTGGCTGATCAGTGTAAGCACTGTTATTTTCACTTATACCTCAGCTGTCAGAATAAATGGCACTTTTGTCTCAGTGATTTTACTGATATCTATATCTTTTTATCCATTTCATCCAAATGTAAACAAAAATGTCACTCCACTACTAAAATCTAATACTAAAAAATGAATTAGGACTTTATCTATATTTAACTTGTGAATGTCGAATAAAACCAAATAATCAGTATAAAAACATAAAAACTTAACTAACCTAATATGCACCCCTTACACGAGGCACAGCTGTTGACAGCAGTGGAATACTTGACATATTTCAGTGTTAAAATGAACATCTGTTTCAGAACTCCTGTTTCTCCCATGCCGGAGATAATGACCTATTATATAACAAACCTGGAAATGTTTCATAAAACAACTGTTGTACTCTTAGCAGCAAGTGTGATTTGTCAAAACATTCCTGAGATGCTAAATATTTGGTGCTTAATGTCTTGGTCTCCAGACAGGAATTACACCCTGTCACGTAATGTGTTTTGCTGTTGGATTTCAGTTTCTTAAATTCCACTGACTTCCACAGTGAATTGAATACAATACAAAATATATCTACTGGACCAAGGTGTAATTATTACGTTCAACTCAGTTTGATCATGATGTTCCTCAATCCTTCATCTGGAATGAACAACTGGGGAGGGGGATGTTAACGACACAGTGAGTCTGGATGAAAGTCTCACTCCAATGGGAGTTGAACAATAAAAGCAACATCTTAGATTTGAATCTGGCAAGAGACCTCAGCTACACTTGAATTTTCATCCTCATCTCTTCCTCCACATAATTCCTGACATTCTTGACTTTTGACTCTCCTACAGGCAAATACCATTAATTATTTAAAAGAAAGAAAAGAAATTGGAACTGTACACATGGATCACTGTGTTCACTGATCAGATAACAGCAGTAAAGCTGTCATTTCTTATGTCTGTACATCACTTAGTATCCAACAGAATGCAAACTAACTGAACTGAAAAGGTAATTAGATGTTCTGCAAGTCTCCTGTCGTTTTTTTCCACAGAATTGAGTTCAGCAGGGTTATTCAAGCCCACAGTTCAGACAGACAGGGCTTAGGTTCATTAGGGAAACCATGCAGGAGAGATTCCTTTGATGCACAATACAGAAATAACTCCTCATTCCTGTTTCTGATGAAAAGGTGTTCATGGTTTACACTGTTGTTGTTGTTCTGTTAAAAAACACAGAAGTTATACTTTTACACAATGGATTGACTATATAGTCCATAGAATGTATCACAACATGAGCAATTAAAAACAGGTTAAAGTGAAAACAAATGCTTCCCTAAACAGTACTCTTTTTTTCTGTACAGCGAAAAATGGAAGATTTCTATTATAACGAAGAGGAAGAATCCAGCTTAAATGACAGTTACGATTACAGTTACGAACACAGTGTCTGCGACAAAGAGGCAGTGCGTTCTTTTGCCAGTGTCTTCCTCCCAGTAATCTATACCCTGGCTCTGGTGGTTGGTCTGGCTGGGAATGCCCTGGTAGTGGTGGTCTACACATCACGGCTGCGACTACGAACCCTGACAGATGTGTGCATCCTAAACCTTGCCATTTCGGACCTCTTGCTTCTCTTCACCCTGCCCTTCTGGGCAGCTGATGCTGTCCATGGCTGGAAGTTGGGTACGGCAGCCTGCAAGCTCACCTCCTTCCTCTACAGTACCAACTTCAGCTGTGGCATGCTGCTGCTGGCGTGTATCAGTGTGGATCGCTACCGTGCTGTAGCCCAAAATCCAACAGGCAGGACTGGGACAGGTTCCCGGGTAAGGAGACAATGGCTCCTGGTGTGTCTGGTTTTGTGGGCTGTAGCCAGCTTTCTGGGCCTTCCCGAACTTATATTCTCCACAGTGAAACACTCCCATATCAGGGTGGCCTGTACTGCCGTCTACCCACACAGCATGGCTCGACCTGCAAAGGCTGCGCTGGAGCTGCTGGAAGTCACTCTTAGATTCTTGGTACCTTTCTTGGTCATGGTCGTGTGTTACTGCTGGGTAGGGCGGGCGCTGAGCCGGGCAGCTGGGGTGCGAAGAGACCGGAAATGGCGAACCCTGCGAGTCCTTCTGGCTGTGGTGGCCATATTCCTGCTCACCCAGCTGCCCTACAATGTGGTCAAGCTGTGCCGAGCGATGGATGTCATCTACATCCTTGTGACCGACTGCGATGTCAGCAAGAGCCTGGATCATGCTCTTCAAGTGACAGAGAGCCTGGCACTGACCCACGCTTGCATTAACCCTGTCCTCTATGCCTTCATTGGATCCTCCTTCAGGGGACATGTCCTCAAGACTGCCAAGCGCCTTGGACAGCGACTCAAGAGACACCCAAGACACGTCAATGAGGAGCCGGCAGTGGAGATTTCACTCAACACATGCACTCAAACGCAATCCCAGTCTGGTTCAGAAGACCAAGACACAAGCACCTTTACTATTTAAGCCTCAAAACACATTTATTTTCTCATAAGCACCTGTACAAAATTGTATGTCTATGTATATATATTTACACATCTTTATTATCATTCACGCTATGTCAAGAACCATAAATTTAAATTTTTAGTGTAACAAACATACACTGGAGTCCAAACGTCCACTTTTAGACCCCACTGTATATGTAAAATGAGTCTATATGCACTAACAAAGTATTTTGTATAAATGATTTTCCCAGCCAGCCAGCCAGCCAGCCAGCCAGCCAGCCAGCCAGCCAGCCAGCCAGCCAGCCAGCCAGCCAGCCAGACAGACAGACAGACAGACAGACAGACAGACAGACAGACAGACAGACAGACAGACAGACAGACAGACAGACAGACAGACAGACAGACAGACATCTGTTGCAATTAAAAGCAGCTGAAACTCAAGATGGTGGAAGTGCTACTCTGGTTCCTCACGACAAGTCCAATTCAACATTACAGTCTACGCTGCCTTCCATGAGATCATTATTTTATTACATCCTGTGGTTTTGGGTTGGGTTGAGGGGTTGTTGGATTGCACAGCGGATGACACATTGAGAAAAGAAACATTTGGCAGATGTGGACAGAACAGCAATCAGCAGGAAGGACCCCTCCATGCTATCAAACCAATGCACAGTGCTGTGTTTCGTGAAGGAGCTTTAAGCATGAATGGTGTTTTTAATCAAATCAACCTTATCTCTTTTTATTTCAATAATATGACCCTGAAAGAGCAAATGTTTTGTAGTGGAGTGCAATCTATAGATTTATATAATGACATAACATTTTAAATGGTATATAAGTGCTCTCTCCAGACTACTAAAACTGGTGACTTTCATCCTTTTCCCTTTGAAATTACTCAATGCCATCATATAACATTATGCTCAAACTAACCCTAATATCAAATGTAGGCTTAGGGTGTTGGATGGCCACAGTTCAAAGAGTTGATGGTGCAATATTCAAACTTGTTTACACTAGTATGGCTAGTTTCCTGACCATGTTTTAAAACCTCTAACCATAACACAATGTCATTGTTTACCATTCTTTCCATTTGCTTTCAGCTTTGGACAAATGCATGATATAATTTGCAGTACCCGTTAGTCATCCTCTTTCCCCGTAATACCTTACAGTTCGGATATGTGGGAGCGGGATACTGTTAATACTAGGCGTGTCTGAGTAGAGACACAAAAATTAGGTTACACTTTCAACAGTCTCCAAGTAGAGGAGTGACTGGTAAGCTTGGTAATGCATGTAAGTTGCATGTCACAAGACTACTGGAATAAACAAGGAAGTTCTAAATCTTGTGTGACCTCACTTATTTACATATCAACAAGCATTTCATTGGAATTCATTATGGTCTAGCCCAGATGTACATTAGCCTTTTCTCAAACAGTAAATGATAAAGTAAGTATTGGCAGGCAGTACATGTCTCACCATTAAACTATAACATCAAATGATGATTATTTTACTTAATGATCTTAAGTTGCCAAAATTATTAAGATCATTCCATTTCACAAACAACTACTAATAATGTTATACATGTGTACATTATCTGTGCTTTTGTGTGTGTATGGAAATACAAATTCCTATAGCTTAAAGAGAAAAGACTGAAGGTCTGGGGATAATTTCAGTACATTATCATGCCTATTCTGCAGTCTTATAGCTTCCACACCACAGAGCCGCACTAACAACATCTGTAAACCCTCCAGTCTCACTGCTCAGAGTTTGCCACAAACAACTTTAGAGAAAAGGGGAAAACAATGAAGAAAACTGCATCATTTCGGATTATAGGCAACATTTACCCAAGTGGATAGGACTATATTTCCAGTAAGTTTAATTCGATACCAAGTAGCAGTCATTCCAAAGAAAGCTACTACAATGTAATGTAGGAACTGTTGTGTAATTATCATAATGGCATACAGCATAAAAACCAAAGATGAGAATTCTTCACTTTCCGTTTCTCTTTGGGAAAAACTTTATACACAAATTCTCCTTTAGGGGACTCGTGAGGGCTGCCAAATCCCTTGGACAGCTGCTGGGAAACACCAGTAACACATCAAGGAGCTGGCAGTGGGCGTTATATTTTGATACTTGGAAAGAACGAGTTACCATAGCAAAACATTTTCCTTTAACGTAATTTCAATTTAAAAAAAAAAAAAAAAAACTGCCTAGCTTTACTTTTGCTTTTGTTGTAAGTGATTGTCTGGACTTCATGACTCACTGCAAAAGCACAAAACTATCCATTTTCCTCTCCTGAAGAATACGGTTTGACACAAAAGCATCCACAAGTCACACCAAGTATGAAACAGCCATCAACACATCGACATTCTTTCCTAGCACAGAGAGATATTCATGCTGGCAGAGGCCATTCACACAACCCCAGAAGATTTGTTTTCTACTGATGGAAAGTTTGCTTCAAAGACAGAGAATTGTTCAGAAAATACAAACTACACACCTGCAGTATAACATACACACCGTGCACCTCATGAAAACAACATTTTGAAAGTGAAAATTCTGTTCATTTTTGGTAAATAATAGCACTGTATGTTTTTAATGACAAGGAGAATTTCACTGCAGATTCGACAAAGACAAGAAAACAACAGGTCACTGTTTTCCATGGAACTGGGAGTTGAAACCTCAGACCACATCCTTGTCAGAGGAAACATCTGGAATATCTTTCAAGTTGTAATGACTGGAGAGGTGCATGATAAAAATGTAAAAAAAAAAAAAAAAAACTAATAGGAGCTTTAGATATTCAAGCAATAACTTAATTTACTCCTTAATATCTAAGGCTTACTTTTAGAATGGTGACTTAGAGCCAGTCAGTGGGCAAGGAGTAAACTGCACTGTAAATCAGAAGAATACTGACTCATACATGACTCATAGATTAGTCATAAATCCAGAAGAATAAACACATTTAAAGTGTGCATAAAGTCAAGTACCAACAGTTGGATGATTTTACTGGGCTTTAGATATACATTTATTTTAAGGCCATTTAGCAGACTTGAATCATTTACAATGACTGATTAGTCAGAGGTGAAATGTCAACTGTATGCAAGCTTTTACTGATCCATCATGCAAAAAAACTCTGCAACACATTTTCCGGAATCAAATGGAAATCATTAGAAATTTGTTTATGTTATATGATGTTTACTTTGTGAGTCATCTATGCTTCTTGTTCTTAGCAGTCTGGATAAGCATTTATCCCTGTAGTGCTTTGTTACAGCAACATCTTGATTACATACAAACCCATCTTTTTCTGGGAAAAGCTCTCCAGTGCATAATGGACAACAACCTTCCTTTTGAGGTTTACTGTTTTATAAATATTAAATGGTATGTTTGGCCCTAAATGGGCTAGAAAAAAATCTTCAGTGTTCTTGGTGGTGTTAAGTATGTTTTCTTTTCTTATATAGCTAATAAAAATAGAAATAGACATACCACTGCTCCACCATTTTTTGCCGTTTATGACGTAGTTGTCTTCATCCCTATGAAGAGTGCACTCCATGTTGGTTGCATCACTGGAGGCTACATCAGGCTCTAGGGAAGGGATCACAGGGCATACAATGTAACAAGCAATGAGATCCAGACTAACAATATCCAGTTCCCTGCCTTTGTTTTATGTTCTATCTTTTCCAAAATCAAAACTCTGGATTCCATCTTAAACCAGATTCAGCGTGGTTAATATAAATAGAACATTCATACCATTTTCATACTTTAACTGTATGTTAGACGACCCAACAAAGTCACACACAGAAATTGTTTATGAGCACAAGATGGAGCTGCTCCGTGCCATGCAGTGTAATATATCCCCCAAAACACTACTAATCACCATCTGTGTTTATGAAAACCATGGGGAGGTTCACACCCAGTGTAATCACCTCTGGCATGCCGCCGTTTCCAAGCAGTGTGGAACCAAATTGGAGAAAAACAGGGAGAAATTACTCATAGTGTGCAAATGTTTGCCATTTGAATTTTCAAACAAGCCTTTTACAGAGTCTGTAGGAGACGTGCTGTGTGTAACCTGGCTATTTTAAGACCACAAACATCACTGGAACGTTTAGAAAAAAACCACAACGAAGGACTGAACTTTAACAGTTCCCAGTAACTAGGCCCAACACTGGTTCCAAAGGCACAACAAGAAGTGTTCCTAAATGCTCCCTCAAGTCTAGACTTTGTAATTATTTCATTTTCATAAATTGCACTTGGCTTTCATTGCTCATATTTCTACTGAATCTAGGGATAAGGGTGTTTACTTTTGTATCCACAATAAACTTTTATCCATAAAAAAAAAAAAAAAAAAAAAAAAAAAAAAGAGAAATTGATACTCTTGGTCAATGTAATGCTCCTAAATTCTCACTGAAATTGTTTTAGTTTTACATATTAACTGGATTTGTGTGTAGTATCTGACAGTTGTTATCTATTTATTTTAATTACTTAACTCTATCTAAAATGTATTTGTAACACACTTTGGTCAACTCCTGATGTTTTTAAATGTGCTATTTTAAAAATAAATTTAACTTGACTTGTAATGCCCAGTGACCCTGTGACATGAAGTATGCATCTTTGAATGATGCAGGTGGACACCATCAAGGATATACCTGTCATACAGAAACAGGAGCGGATCTCTCCTCTGAGTAGAGGCTCCAGCCATTTCCTTTTCTGTTCCTCACTGCCAAACATGTGCAGCACCTCCATATTTCCTGTGTCTGTGGAGAAACAACACAATATACAATCTATCAGTAATTGATAAGATAAATTTGGAAAGTAATACACTCTCCAGGATTTTAATCATACTGTTTTAACTAATCTGACAAATAATTTAAGAGGGCATTACATAGACTTTGCAGATTGTTATATTTTATGTCAGATGAGCAGAAACATGAATGGTTGTTATGATAAAAACAAGGCTGGAAAGTTGACATTTGGACAGGAGTTTCTGAGTAAAGAGGATGTTATCCAAAACATGAGAAAATATAATCTATGTTGTATACACAAAGAGCAAGGCCATGTCTTAACTATCATGTGACTGCCAAAATGGACCTATAATATTGTCCATGGCCTCTAAATGATCTCAAAATCAGACACCATGGAGGATGTTTTACCAGGAGCCTGGCAGTTGAAAACTTCAGGGGCAAAGAGGCAGCGTCCAGTTTCCTCTGCAATATAGGCATAGTCCAACTGACTGAGACCACTGACTGCGGGCAGGAAAAGGTTCCACAGCCCTGCCCCCCTGGCTTTCACCTGGACACACAGATGCACTTTATTATACAGAGTCTATCTGCACGCACAAACTGAACACTTCATGCAAAGCAGACATTAGAAATAACAAACAGATCTCAAGCAGTTCGCGAAGATCAAAACATTCATTTGAAAAAAACCTTTTTATTTTATTTTATCTAAACTGTTGATGATGATGGATTGTGGTGTGGGACTGACTCAGAGGGGAGGTGCACTGTTTAGACAGGATTTAACCTGCTTGATTGATACTAGACGTTTACACTGCTACAACGCAACATTCGATAATATTTATGTTAGGTCTCTGTGGAAAGAGAGCTGTGCCTTCCAAGTTAAAAATCAATAAAGATACAACAATATGCTCACATACCTTTAGGTCCTCTATTATTTGGGGGGTGTGCCACCTCTGTGAAGACTGTGCGTGTTTGGAGTAGTACTTGGCAACTTCCTGTAGAAAAAAAAAATTACCCGGTGGATTGGTAAGATAGAACATTGTAATATCAACCTATGAACCCATTTCATGCTGACTACTCTCACTACTGCATGGCTTTCATCAGTTGGAACCTGCACCATAAAATAAGAAATTCCTCATCTTTAAAATGTGTTAATAGGATATTTCTATAGATATTTCTACAGCAGAACTGAATTTGTAGTCCTTTATATCTGTGGTGTTCTTTCTCTTCCGCTCTGCCAATTTCTTTGAAAAATAAACCCAAAAAAGATTTGCAATGCCATCTCTGCACTGCATTAAGAACACTATGATCCCCAGCCAAAGGTGATGATTCTGTGTGCAATATAATTTATATAATCAACAGAGTCATTGTTTTCTCACTTGAATTAATTAGTTCTGATTGCATGAATGAACCACTGTGCTCCGTCAAATCCTTTCATGTCCGGAATAAAAGTCCATCTGGACAAACAAATCACTCTTCTGTTCTTAGGAACACTTGGCACTGACCTCTTGAGCAGGAAGCACATATTGTTTCATGAAGTCTTTGACCTGTTCGAGAATGGCCTGACCTTTAGCTGTCTGGAGGAACAGTCTGTATTCTGTTGCACCTGTGAGAGACCTGGCAAGAAACACACCTCACATGATAAAAAGGTCAACAGGGAATATCAGAGGCAGCAACTGGATACCAAATTCCAACTGTTGCTGGCTTAAGTTTAATCAGCAGGTGGAATCAATCTGTTTTCTGGCCTACAATAACACAAAGAATTTACATAAGATTCTGTAAATCCCAACATGTTCAGACTATCTTAATGCTTCACTTCAAAATATATTAATTCTGATGTCAGTGCATTAATACACATCAATAAAATTTGAACTGCAACCAACCGTTGTGCAAGGTGCAAGGCAACCTCAGCCAAGGGCTCCACACACTGGCTGAACTGAGCTGCATTGGGTGCACTGGCATTACCCAGTAGATAGCGAGCATAGATTCCCTGTTAAATAAAAAGGGTGAATAAAAAAAAAAAAAAGAGTGAGCAATCCATCTGGGTTCCTTTGTAGTTCTTCTCTGTATATTCCAAGTACCCTAAAAATATAATACTACATTTACAACTTCAAAACTATATTCTCATATGCTAATCTATTACTTTTGCCTCCTTAAATTCCAATGTATATCTTAAAAAGGAAAATAGGGGTAGAATTGCAAGCAGTACTTGGCACATTAACAGGGACACACCTGGGCAATTCCTGCCATTTTAAAGACAGACAGAGCCAGGTAGAAATTCAACTGCGGCAAAGCAGATGGGATCCCCCGGCATCTACAGTAAATGGAGATCAGATCACCCACAGTTGGAATACCTGCTCATTGGTTGGAGAGACAAAAGACAGGAAAGGCACAATGACAAATTGAACAGATACAGTGAATCTGCACACAAAAGCAAACGACATGTCTTTCTACCCAGCCATTTTCAGCACCTGTTAATCCTGCTCAGGGTTGTTTTTTGTTAGTTTTCATTACCTTCTATTCCTTTTAAGCAGCCCATTGTGCTGATTATGTTGAGACTTCTTGGCCAGTAGTGAGGCATTAAGAAGTATGCCAAGTCTGCCAGGGGCTGTCCAGTGGTAGACAGCTCCCAGTCTAACACTGCTATCACACGTGCCTAATGACATCAAACACACTTTGTGAAGTTTTTAACTGTCAAATGCAGCAAAGTGGTAAGAATAACTGTCTGGGGAAATGTACCTCTGTTGGGTGGAATATCAGGTTATCCAGTCGGAAATCTCCATGGACAAGCGTGACTTCATCGTCATTGGCTGGCAAATTCTTCATCAACCAACCAGACAGTTCATTCATGGCTGGAATGTCTCTGTGGGCTGCTGCGGTGTACTGCTTCGACCAGGTGGACACCTTCAATGAGTGAAAGAAATTTCTGAATGGTAAAAATTTAACTAGTTATTCCAGATTAGATGTATAAAGTTATTTTGATGTACTGAGTACAAGGTGTTATCTCACCTGTCTCTTGCAGTAGCCTGGTCCCCTGCCATACCCTTCAAGGTTCAGTGATTCCAGCTCCAGTGAGTGTAGCTTTGCCAACACTTCCACTGCAGCCACATATAGAGCTGTTCTCTCTGCCGGACTCATTCCAGGGAGACGAAGATCCCTGAATATACGCCCCTGATCAATGGAGATGGATAAACAATTATGTTTTTTTTCAAATATGTAACTTTTCATCTCATGATAGCTCACCAGCACATATTTAGAAGCATGTGGAACAGTTCGGTATGTCAAGCTAGAGTTTGTCAGCAAGCCACCCCTTGCGAGTCTTTTATCATAGAACAGAGGTCAAGAAAAACACCAATAGTCCATAACAGATGAATGGATTTACAGCTGGTGACTTCACAGTCTTGTGAAATTTGGCTCTTGGTGGCACAAATTTACCTTCACATGTTCCATCAAGTAGAACTCTGTTCCAGTGATTTCAACATCAGTGCAGTGCAAGAGAGGCTGAGGCACGGGGAAACCAGCAGAAAACAGGGCCTTCTGCACCCGATACTCCCTGTCCACCTGCAAACAAAGTCACAAGGATCAACCATACCATGCTTAAACATCACCCATATTGTAAAATATTATGGTAACAATTCATTTTAGAGGTCTTGTAGTTTTGTTTCATATGATTTCCTATACAAGTTATGTTACAGTAAATGCATATGAAGGTTTCTAAAAAGTAATTTTGCACTTCAAAAACTGCAGATGGTATGTAGGTGATATACTTCTAATTCCAATTAATTTATATCTTAAAATAGAGATTTCAATCTGTGCACAGGTGATCATCTGAACAAAATGTAATATTTGTGTACAGGCAAGCATTAAGTTCAAAATATATGTAGGAAAAAAGTTTGAAATAATATATCAGAATGGGGTTTTAGTGAATCTCTTTCAGTTTTACCAGTCTTTAAGATTTATCTTTCAAGGAAACACACTAAGTACATTTTATCATAATTTGCATCGGTGCGGTACCAAATCATTTAGTTCTTCACAGGAAACTGTCTAGAAATTTATTATAGGTAATAATATAGTACAAGTAGCCTTTTAAATATTTTTTGCACTTATATTCATTAAGTTTTCAAGGTACAAGCAGTGCCTTGATATATTTATGATGTGGCTTTCACGCATACACATGTATTTACTTCTGACAGTCCCTTTAACTCAAGTTTCTCCCCCTGCTGGAAAAGTGACATGACGACACACAACAGTGCTGCAAACAAATTTGTATTTAAACTTTTTTTTTTTCTTTGACCAAAGTAATTCATTTGTTAAACCTCACCTTGTGAGCCCCTGGCAGCAGCTCACCTGGGGGTTTCTTTCTGAGAACATAGCTCTTTGAGGGTGTCTGGATTAGAAAGGTCGGGTTTGACTGGCCAGCACTGGAAAGACAATAAACTGTTAGCGTGTTAAGTTAGCTAATCATGGTTGCACAATATTAGCTTTCTATTGCTTGCTTGTTTAACGTAGCTGATCCGCTGAAACACACCAACGCTTTCTTACTTACCTGTATTGTCTGACAGTGAGTGTGTTGTTATTGACTGAGTTGGCAGACAAATATCTCTGAAGTCTGCCAACACTGAATTTGTGTTGTTCTCGTACAGGAGTTGTCCGCTCTTCCATGTCTCAGTCAGACAGGATTAATCATTTCCAGGTGCGTGGGTAAGATTACTTTGGCAATGTTGATTGTGATCGGACCATACGTCCAGGGTCGTGTCGGACGGACCGTTTACGGATGCACACCGACGTAACATCCTCAGAACTGGTTTTATTTAAGGTAATATCGTAAAGTAATTCATCAGAGTTTTAAAACATATTGGCCGCTAATAATTCGACAGTCAGCCCTTATCCTCGAAAGACGGTTCAAATAAATCACTAATGATGTAGGAACATTTTGAGGTAGTTGTACTCGTTTTCTGCACGGACGTTGTTTATGGGAACACACATCCTGACAGCTGATTTGAGTTGTGAAGACGTGTACCTTCCGTGCCGATTTAAACGTCTTGGTTGTTCGTTTGCATTTATTTATTTTTTTTATAACACCGTATTTCGTTGACATCGTTGCGCGGGGTTTGTTTTCCTAATGGCCACAGTAGAGGAACTGAAGCTGCGGGTGAGAGAGCTGGAGAATGAATTGATCAAGTGTAAGCAGAAGCAGTGTGCCATGGAGGATGCACTTCACAGACCGAAAATTGACAAAATGAGCGCTGAAGTTGTGGATTCCAACCCATACAGGTGAGTTTTTATTTCATTATTTAAGCCTCCGGGCATATTTTGTCCGGGCTTCTCGTAGCGCTGAGAGGCTACGCCTTATGACTCACTCATCCCATATGGTGGGGTTTCATAGACAACAAGCTAATCTCAGCTGTGTTTTCATTGCAGTCGTCTAATGGCTCTTAAGAGAATGGGCATCGTGGATGATTACGAGGTATGATGTTTGAGGGTTGCTCTATTTAAGTGCAGTACTTTTAAGGTTGTGATTGCTGCGCTAGCCCGATCAGAAAATAGGAAGTACAGTAATAAAGGTTTTTGAGGACTGCTCTTGAAGCCTATATCTATTTCCACTATTTTTCCACCAATGTCATATGGCATTAATGCCATTGTATTTTAATACGTTTCAATTCAGCTTTTATCACAGTATCCTCACGTTTGTTTGTTTTTTTACATACCATGTGACTTTTGTGCTATTAATTTTGAAACATGAACTGACATCTTTATATAGAAGATAGAAAATATTAGCTCCACAGAGCAGATTTTGAAATAACAATACTCCTGCATGTCTTAGGATGAATACTAGTCTTCAAATGTCTTTACAGAAAATTCGAACATACACAGTAGCTGTGGTTGGTGTTGGTGGAGTTGGCAGTGTGACAGCTGAAATGCTCACTAGATGTGGCATTGGTAAGGTAATACAAACGTTTAATTACTTAATCTACTTTACATTTGTTTCCATTCATTTCATTAAACAGGTTTTCCACTCCTGTGCTTACCTTTGCTCAATTTCATCTTCTGCCATCACAGCTGCTCCTCTTTGACTACGATAAAGTAGAGCTGGCCAATATGAACCGACTGTTCTTCCAGCCTCACCAGGCAGGCCTCAGTAAAGTGGAAGCAGCAGAACACACACTCAGGTATCCTATTGTTGACAGTAAACCACGTTTCCGCCAAAGCAGACACATTTGATTTCTTATTGCTAACATGTCACTCAATTTTCCCCAACAGAAACATCAATCCAGATGTGTCATTTGAAACCCACAACTACAATATTACCACTATGGACAATTTTACACATTTCATGGATCGCATCAGGTGCACATTACTACTCTCCAAGTTGTAGTTTTCCTCCTCTGTCCCCACAGTAGAACAGGACTTCATAACATCTTATTCTGTCTCTGCTCAGTCGTGGAGGGCTGGAAGAAGGGATGCCGGTGGATTTGGTCCTGAGCTGTGTGGACAACTTTGAGGCCAGAATGGCCATTAATACAGTAAGTGCATCATGGTCATAAAAAGGCAAAATTGACAGTATATTCTACAGTCGACACTGTGCTTTATATGTTGCTCTTGCACATTTGTAAAATGTTATCCTGTTTACCTCAGGCCTGTAATGAACTAGGTCAGATCTGGATGGAGTCTGGTGTCAGTGAGAATGCTGTATCAGGACATATCCAGCTCATCATTCCTGGAGAGACAGCCTGCTTTGCTGTATGTCCACATGACACACAACACAATCAGACAAACATCCTTTTTTTTCTTGTGATAATACTTGAGCAATAAAGCTGTAGCAATAAAGTTTTAATATACTTTTTAACAATCAAATCCTCTGTTAGTGTGCCCCTCCTTTGGTGGTGGCAGCTAACATTGATGAGAAGACCCTAAAGAGGGAGGGTGTGTGCGCTGCCAGCTTACCAACAACCATGGGTGTGGTCGCAGGCATCTTGGTCCAAAATGTCCTCAAGTAAGTAAATTATCATTTATAGCCAACTAAGAAATCTGATGACCGTAAATTCAAAGGTCAAAAGTTTATGTTTTGTCTCATAGGTATCTGTTAAAGTTTGGCACTGTCAGTTATTATCTTGGCTACAACGCCATGCAGGACTTCTTTCCCACCATGGCCATGAAAGCCAACCCCCAGTGTAACGATCGCCACTGCAGGAAACAACAGGAGGAGTACAAGGTGTGTGTACTTGTTTGTTTTCAAGTTTTAGAATGTAGGATAGCATAGTGAGACTGAACCAAAGCCCAATTTGTTGCAATACAGATTCAGATATGGTGATGCACTGCTTAGAAAGCAGGAGTTAATGGCGACCACCTGTGTAACTTTTTCTCTTCAGAAGAAAGAAGCAGAGCGACCCAAGGTGGAAGTTATAGAGGTAGAGGAGGAGGTTGTACATGAAGACAATGAGTGGGGTGAGTGAAAAACAATTATTCCAGCTAACAGTGTCAGATCTGTAACATTTTAATTGCATGGACTGTGTATTAACACAAATTTTCCTGTGCAGGTATTGAACTAGTATCAGAGGTGACTGACGCAGAGTTACAGGCTGCATCAGGCACTGTGCCTGACCTCCCAGAAGGCATCACTGTGGCTTACACCATTCCAGCTGAGGTCTGTATTGCTTTAGACTACAGGGCTTTAAAGGATTTTACTGGTTTTAAATGTTTAATCTCATAAAGTTAAAATACGTAACAGTATTACTTACCTTTTTCTGAAGTATAAAGCATAACAAGTTTTTATATTGTAACAGTAATGTCAAAAAAATATTTACTATTATAGACAACATCTCAAAAGTTTCTAGTCTCCTATTTTATTTCATACCATACTGCTATAAAATGAAAGCACTACCTGGCTGGCAAACATGATACTGTGGAAAAGAGAGTGCAGTCATGTGAAGTATATAGATTTTTCTATTGGATTTACTGAGAAGTCCTTTCCACTGAATTGTTAAAATATTTCGTTTTCTTTTGTTTGAACCAGGATACAGCAAGTGGAGAGACAGTGGGGGAGACTGAGCAGAGCCTAGAAGACTTGATGGCTCAGATGAAAAAGTTATAGGCAGCAACCTGAAGACATATTTCTGCTATTCAGATTAAACATGCCTTTTCTCACTTGCATCTTCCATTGCTTTCTTTGATCATAAACAACCCAATGATGGCTGCTTGAGGACAAAACAGTCAAAGCCAAATAGTGAGAACCCAGAATTAATTTCTTCTAACAGCTAAAAAAGGAGAATGCATGAAAAGTGCTGCTGCTGATGGCATTACTTTAGTGAACACACACCAAAAACATCCAAAAACAGTTCAGTGTGTCATTTGGTGATGTACTGGGAAGGTGTGTAGTATGGAAGAGTCTAATAAGATGTCTCTAAACCTAGAATTATATCACTGTTAGTACATTAACATGTATCATTGTTTATTTTCTTACAGTTTTGATTAGTGAATGTCTGTGCTCTGTCATTCACTCAGCTTTAAGAAAACATCTGCGACAATAGTACTAATGAACAATGTCATCAATAAAGTTGTCTCAATAAAGTATTTATTAGATGGAATACAATCTACCCAATATATTGGCTGTGATTTTTGTTGTTGTCCTGTACAGCTTTTACAGATTTTAATTACATGACATTAATACATGGATATATATATATATATATATAAACTTAAGATACACTATATGTATTACACATGAGAATGAGACTGTAGGTTTTGGTACATCGTGTCCCTTTTGGCTTCATGTACATTCACTCAGAGAATAAATGAATAATAATTTTATCGTACTTTAACATGGACAGTCATATGGCACCATCATGTTTTTGGCAATTCCCTTCAAATCCTTTTTGCACATGGATAAATATATGTACATTTAGTTTTGCATAAACCAGGAAATCAGTACCAGAGTTTGTGTTAGCTCAGACTTGGTCTAGGCTTGTTTTCTACTGTTATCTTTTCCCTTTTTAAAGTACATGTTGAATACTGGTAGGAAAACGTTACATGTGACATAAACATGAAAAATGGTACCTTCATTTGCTTTTAGAGATAGCAGCTCTCAGATATTATTCATTCAGAATGTCTGGAATGTAGACTTGGAAACAAAAGTGCTTGAGGTCCGAAGGTCCTAATGAATATTTTCTAAACATTTTTAGTAAAAGTTAAGAGATACCACCACCATGATCATAATGTGTTGTGGCATTGTCTGACAGTTTATCTCCTTAGGAGAAGCTTGAGAAGCCCTTTTTTCCACTGGATTTTTAGTGTTATTTCTTTAAAGCCAATATCTAAAAAAAAAAAAAAACTTCAAAAATGTCCACTGTACAGTGGAAAACACCAAATGTGTCTATTCTCATTAATCCTGTTACAGATTCGAAAATGCTAAACCTGGCTGAAGTGATTTCAAGCCAGCAAAGGAATCTCTGTGGTTATTTTGACAATATACACTGTGGGGCTTGTAAACAGGTGTGTTTCAGTCTTAGTTAAAATTAGTGTTAACCTGAGTTTCATTTAACACAAGTTCAACGCTTCTTACACACAATTATGTTAGAAATATTAATAAATACTTTTGGCAAATACACAGGTTTCACAGACTAATATGGCAGACTTCATAATCCTGCTGGCAGGTACAGTATATTGGAACAAACCCTAAAACCTCCATCCAGATGACAGTCACAGTGTGATGACCAGGATGGTTCCCTTTATGATGAAACCATGGGTTTTTGTATTGATGCTACTCTATGATGGAGCCGTTTGTTGTGGGATTAGGGATTTGGGCTGAACACAGTTACCTTGGGGTGTGTGGGAGGGGAGCAGGTCCCCTCAGACTGAATGTGTCCCCACTGGAGGAATGACGGGATGGGGCATTTCCACACACCAGCGATGGCTCTGCCTCTTTAATCTCCATTGCACGCTTGTAAAGCTCCGCTGCCTTCTCAAAGTCACCTTCTTCATAGCTATTTAAAAATCAGAAAAACACAGAAAACAGAAAAAGATAAAAAGTTACTCACTGTAAAAACAATTATTTCGTTTACTTCTGAGACAGCAAATGTCAATGTAACTTCAACCACACTACCTTAGCACAGCCAGGTTTTTTAGAGTCTCTCCGACTCGTGGATGTGAGCGCCCCAAACTATCCTCATACACTTTCAGGGCTCGTTCATAAAGAGGCAAGGCGTCATTATGCTTCTTCTACCAAAGAAAGAAATTCAGTTAGCTTTGCTCTATACAACCATTAAAATAAAAACACATTATCTATAAATTATATCACAGAAATATGTAAGACTGGAGTATGTGGTACAGACAGAAGAGGCATGATAAACAGTCTCACCAGTTGGCAGTATATTACAGCCAGGTTGACCAGTGCTGTGGCCACACTGGGGTGTTTGGGCCCGAAACTTTTCTCCCTGATTTCCAGAGACAGCTCGTACAGTGGCACAGCCTTCTCCAGCTTCCCCTGTTCAAAACACACATCTTTAAATCACACTCTCGTTCAACAAACAGCTCAAAAGTTTAAGTGTCAACAGGCATGTGTCTCACTCTGCGTTTATACAGCATGGCCAGGTGTTTGAGTGTGTATGCCAGCGAGGGGTGGTCTGGGGACAAGGCCTTCTTGCGGATGTCCAGTGCCCTCTCATACATATCCTCAGCTGTCTCATATTCCCTCCTCTCAGTGTGCAGTGCAGCCAGGTTGTTGAGTGACTGAGCACAGTCTGGGTGATCTGGACCGAGGACACGCTGACGCATCTCCAGAGAGCGGGTCAAAAAAACCTTGGCTGCACTGGTGAGTTAAAAGGAAGAGATATTAAAAAGTTACAAACTGATTTATTTGAAACAAACAAAAACTTCTCAGCAAACACGTGCAATTTGAATTGGCCTGTCTATGATTAAAAGAGTGTTAAATGTCTTTGTATGTGTGTGCCAGCCGTGACGTGTGCCTTACTCCAGGTTGTTTTGGAGGTAGTACAGGACACCCAGTTCATTAAGTGTCTTGGCGCAGTCAGCGGAATCTTTACCCAGAGTCAGCTCTTCCAACTGCAGGGCTCTGCGCCTCAACAAAGTGAAGCCATACTGAAAGGAGGGGAAGACAAAAAACAATTTAATATATGACTGATTAAGTGAGAATGACCAAACGTGGGCATCTGAGAAACATACTCACCATATGACCTTTCTGGCGAGCAGTTTTCTGACGAATCTTCACTGACCTCTTCCTGAGTTTCTCTGCTTGTTCATATCTGATTGTAAAAGATCCAGATGTGAGCTGTTAAACATGTCATTTAAACTGACTCTAGGTTGTCTTTGAGTGTTTTAGTTATTGCTTGACTTTTAATAAGGCCTTACGATCATGCGCACATGTGGGATGCCTCTTTGTAAACACATTGCTCGACTGGAACAACCAATAAACTTTAATACATGAGCAACAATTAGAAATAACGTCATGCATGTCATCACCAAGAAAGTCTTATTTACTTGTTTTGTTTCTGATAGAGCATGGCGAGTGACTCTAGTTCTCGTGCCACGCTGGCGTGCTCTGCACCGTAGGCGTTCTCACTTATCTCCAGGGCCTGCTTGTACAGCTGCTCAGCGTTGCCATACTTCTTCCACTGAACATAAACCCCTGCCAGCTGGTGCAGGGAGCGAGCAACGCTGGGATGGTCCGGATCCAGAGCTGTCTCCCTTATCTCAAGGGACCTTTGTAAAGGGGCTACAGCCTAGAGAAACAGACAGACCGAACTAGATATATATGCAATTTTGAGCGTGTGCACTTTCCAAGGAGAAAATAACAACAGACTCTTATGCTTGCTGTGTAAACAAATTAAACCAAGGAACAAACTGCGATACAGGAAAATGCTGAAAAATCTGTGCAGTGAACATTAAATGTGGATTTGTTTAGTTTCTCAAAAGTGAAATAATGCAACCATATACTCTACCTGACTTGGAAGGCCCAGGTCTTTGAGGAAACGTCCCAAAGTCTCATACAGGTTTGCCAGCTTGGTCATGCTGTCTTCACTCTCACAGCTCTTCTCATAGTGTTTCAGGGAGTCAAAGTACTCACTGGCCATCGAGCTTTTGTCTTTGCCCACATACTGCCAGTAGGCCAGAAGCTCGGAGAAATGGCCCCTGGAAAATGAAAACAACATACACCTGTAAGATAATAACTGAACAAATGTGACAGGCATTTGTGGTATCAGCTTGTGTCTATGAATGTTTTGTACCTTTTGTAGAGGTTCTGAGAGACAAACAGGTTCAAGAGGCTGAGCTGCAGTTTAGTCCTGTCCTCCTGCTGTTGGAGCAGCCAGGGAAGTTCATCTGCGACACGCCATGTCACACAGTCCTGGCTATACACACACACACACACACACACACACACACACACACACACACACACACACACACACACACACACACTCCACACAACAACACACAGCAACACAATCAACATGAGTTGCACTGTAATGACTGAAATAACAATGTTAGGTTTGTTGCATGAGGGGACGACGACCACTCTGAAGCACCTGAGTTGTTGGCTGAAGTAATGGATGAGTTTCTCTCTGTAAGTAGCAGAGCTGCTTCCTCCGCTCAGGAACTCCAACCTCACAGCTTCCCAAGCCTGAAAGATGGTCACAAAGACAGACATAAGAGACTAAATTATTTATTGATAAATTCTGTTTTGCATGAATATCATAATTCTTTTATGCGTTTTCTCTTTAATGATGATGCACTCTATAATATTACTGGTCAAGGAGAATAATTACCTGCAGGTGTTGGAACCTGATGAGCCCACAACGGAGGGTTACAATGCAGAGTCTGTTCAGACAGTACAGCATAGAGGACAAGACAGGTAACTCTAGCTCTGGGAAAAGGTCTAGTGCCTCTGACTCACTCACTCCATTATGGCTGGCACATACAAGGCACAGTAACTGAAGAGAGACAAAAAAGCACATACTACTCAGCTACATAATTAAAAAAAAAAGATCACATAAAAAGGACAATAGAGTATTAAAGTGAGCTAAATTAAACCAGACAGTGATAATTCAAACTAAAAAAGACAAAAGAAAGAAATTATAACATGCTTAAAAAAAAAAAGTCGTTTTACAGCACACATTTGTCATTAAAACAAAAAATGATGACAAAACTTTTTTTTTTGTCTAGAGTGAGGTCACCTCTCTAATAATGTGTCGCTCTCTGTCTGTGTTGAGGGAGTTCAGCGTCATCTTGAGTGCCAGGCGGTAAAGTGACATGGTGTCCTGACACTGCAGACACTGCTCCATGCTCTTCTCCAGTAACCAACATGATCTACTGCTGGGCAGCAACAAAACACATAACATGATCAAGTCAACACATGTTAAAACGTATGTAGCCACACACCCAGAGACATCTAAGTCAGAATGAAGAGGGCTATACCATTTTTCAACCAGATAACATGAATCTACAGAGAACTTCATCTTTACATACAGTATACTTCATTGTATTGAAAAGAATGTGTCCTGCATCTTTTCCCTTGAAAAGTAGTGAAGGTATGCAAAAAGTACAGTTTTTAATCATTGCTGACAGATGTGTCCAAATAGGTCAGAA